CAATTGTATTTGTAGATTATCTCTTGAGCAACAATCATGTCAATTCTATAATTGTACACAAGTTTGATTTTTCCGACGAGGATGTAATGGGCTATTACATTTTATTTTTAAAGACGCTGAGTCTTAAACTCAATACGCATACCATACATTTCTTTTACAATGAAGTAAGTATTTTGGTACATATTGATTGAATTGAATTTAATCTTATTGACTAATTGCAGCATACAAATGACTTTCCGCTTTATACAGAGGCTATTAAATTCTTTAATCATCCCGAATCTATGGTTCGTATAGCAGTACGCACCATCTCACTAAATGTCTATAAAGTGCAAAATGCCAGTATGTTGCGGTTTATCAGAGACAAGTATGCAGTTAAAACATATCCCTGTAATCCCAGCGAAATAAAACAAGCCTTTTTTATTCTTATTTTATGTTTAGAACTGCCGCTCCTTATTTCAGTAATCTCGTATGGTTCATTGGCAAGCATATTTTGGAGTTAGACACTTGCGTGCGAACTGATATTGAGTAAGCACTACAAATAGCTCTTTACCGAAAAAATATCACTTATTTTTATATTTTTGTGCAGCCATCAATCAAATCAGAAACTGTCCAATTTGGTCGCCGAACATCTCGATCATTTACATTACCTGAACGATATTCTGCTACTCGAAATAGACGACTTGAATGCCGTACTTACCGAACATTTGCTGCACAAGCTCTTTGTGCCGCTTTATATCTTCTCACTTACGCCCGCGCCACCTCCTCCTTCACTCGCCGTGGCTACACAAAATCTAGCAGCGGTTCTAAATCGGCCAGTCGATATTGATATACAAGAGATTACTAATCCACGTGTATCATCAATTGTCGCCTTGTACCTGTTGTCTTTGGTCTTCTTGGTTGTAACACATTCGCCGCTAGTGCATGCCCTTGCCTGGGTGATACTAAATGGTGATCACAGTGTCTTTAAAGAGGGCGCTGCTGAAGTATTAAATGCTTATGTAGAGCATCGCTTGGCTGTTGTGCCTGGTTTTGGCGAGCCGCGTGAAAGTTTGGAGCAAGCATTAGAGACTGTAGGTGCTAACTCATATAGTTATAGCTATGAAGGTGACGATTTGAATACGGTTGAGGCCACAGCTGGTACAAGTACTACAGCAGCAGCAGCGGAAAATGTGGGAGAATCCATTGTTACAACAACAACTACGGATGCTGATGAGCAAAGAGCGGAAAGCGATGCGCAAGTGATAAAGCGTAAATTTTCAGCAGGCAAATCAAGCGTAGCTGCGCAAATTGTACTAAATAATGCCAAATTAGCTAATATCACCGACGAAGAGAAAGAGAAGCTACAGAAGCTAGGGCAGTCCTCTCAAGGGTTTAGCGAATTGAGCCGACCGTTTTTACAAATGGTGCTTTCAGCGTTGGACTGTACAGAGAATGATTATTTAGCGCTTTTGGCATTATGTCTCACTTACGCGATGGCCTACAACCGAGGTAAGTGTGTAAAAAGAAGCATTCGTAATACGCACACTGCGACATGGGCAAATATAAAGATCTTTTTTTGCTTTGTTTGAGATATCTTTCGAAACTACAAAGATAATTTCCTATGCCCATGTCGAAAATGTGGCTAATTGTTAGGTTGCATCCAACTTTTCACCATGTAACAAACGCTAAATCAACTTACTAATGCACCATATTGTTCTTCATTATTTTCTACTTTTTCATTTGTAATGCTATCCATTAAAATTCGAACGGTGATGTGTTTCTCACTACTTTATGCTTCATAAACTGACACTGTAGATGGTACGTAAAACTCTCATATGTATGTATGTACATATGTATTGTCATCTGTAAATTCCATCATATATATTTGTATGAGCCTTAGCATATATAATAATTTCTTAACCAACTAATCTGTAACTGTGTTTTTATTCATTTCTAAACAGGTGTGAAGAACGATTGGTTCGAACAAGTGCTTTCCAAATCTGCCAAAGGTTCTTATAGCTATAAAACGGAACTGATAGAACGTCTGCTGCACATAATATCGCTCTCCAGTCAGCCGTGTATGGAAGAGCAAAAACATATAAATAGTTGATTATATATTTTAGGCTATATTCATACATATTTATTTATTTTCTTCACAGCCTGTCGCATACGTCTCATTACGATTGAAATCGCTTTACAACTTCTTGTAACCTTCACTAAGCCTTGCACCGATGACGCGTGCATTACAGAAGCTCAGCAAGATGCATTATTTTTAGCGCGCAATCAGTCTATGGTGGTTTTACGCAACTTTTATAAATCCGAAGACATCTTTCTTGATCTTTTCGAGGATGAATTTAATGAAATGCGCAAAGCGATTTTGAATGTAGAATTTTTGTGTATGGACTCAACAATACTCCTACCACCAACTGGTACGCCCCTGACAGGCATAAATTTTACACGCCGCCTGCCGTGTGGCGAAGTGGAGAAGGCGCGTCGAGCCATACGTGTTTTCTTCCTGCTGCGTAGAACATGCCAACAATTTTTAAATGAAAAAGAAACATTGCTGCCGCTGACAAATACCTTGCACCTAGTGCAGGTGGATAACGTGTTAGACTTAAGTAAGTGCGAAATACAAATGTTTGCTTAAAAGATATACCTTGATTTGATAATTACGTGCCTCTAGATAACAGCGACTTAATTGCCTGCACCGTAATCAGCAAGGATAGCACCAAGCAGCGACGTTTCCTTGTTATAGATTCGTTGCAACTCATACTCGTTGAACCAGACGCCAAACTGCTAGGATGGGGTGTAGCTAAATTTGTTGGATTCCTGCAGGATGTAGAAGTGGTCGGCGATAAGGACGATTCGCGCTGTTTGCATATAACCGTACATCGTGGTGGCGCGACGCATAACCGTACGCCGCTATTATCGGCGAAATTCCTTTTCGACGATCACATACGCTGCATGGCTGCGAAACAAAGGCTGACAAAAGTACACTACCTATATATTTTGAATGTTTAATATATAATTTTGAAACTTCATACATTTTACAGGGCCGCAGCAAGGCACGCCAAAAGAAAATGTATCAAATCGCGCAACTCATCGAAATGCCGGGCCAAGTAGTCGACTCACCGGTCTATGCAGTAGCTGGTCTACGTGCTGGTAGTGTGGCCAGCAGCAGCTCTCGTTCCTCACGCGAACACCGTCCCATCTTGTCCACAGCGAATAGGGTGCCTGGCTTTGCTGCAGCTTTAAAACGCGATACAAATAATGGCGGTGGTGTAAGTCGCATACAAATGGCGCGAAATCGCTCAATCGAAGGGTTAGTCAAGTGTTGATTTTCATTTTTAAATACAAATACCTATGTATACATATTGCAAGCGTGCATTTGATTTTGACTTCTCTTATTTAGCATACGTAACGAGAGTGTTGGACGTCCACGTCGACGCAATTCCAATTCCAGTTCGCATTCGTCGACATCTCAAACGCGGGAAGTAAATTCATCACCCGGACGTGAACATTCGCCTAGCAGCTCTTCGCAGTCGCGGGAGCATTCACAGAATCGCACTTCAACACGTTCGCGTGACAGCAGTCCGCGCATGCCTAGACCGCGGTAACCTTTTTAGACCAAGCGAAAAAATAATATAATTTCTTATGAGTTGTTTTACAGCTCTGAAGAAATTCCGCTTGAAGATTTCCAACATTCACGCAACAATAGTCCACAATCACGTGGCAGTTCTTCATACGTTAATACGCCAACACGTGTACCTACGCCATCACGCGCGTTAAATTACGAACAGATCGCCATTTCTGTGCATAATGGTATGCCACGCGAAACGCATTCCCCAGCGCCGCTTAACCCAACGCAGCTAAATGGTGTTGCTATTGCAAAAGAAGTCGTTGTACCGGTCGCTAGCTCCGAAGAGACATCGTTTATTGGCAGCGAGGATGCACCATCGAGTGAGCAACGACGTCGCGGAATTATCGAAACAGTATAAAACTTATGAACTGCTGTAGATTTGCATTAGGTTAATATAGAGGATAATATACTAGTTTGTTTTGCGTTTATAATCCATAATCACAATATTCATATGTTTAATCAACAAAACAATAAAAATGAGGTTGAAAACTTTTACAAAAATTATTTACCGTAAATTTGTTTGAGAAAAATAGTGTTTCTTTTGTTTTTAGACATAAGGTACTCATACTGAAGGCAAATTGTGACGTAACATTAATCTATATTAAATGATATATTGAAATTATTAAAAATTCTTGATCTTTGACTTGTTTAGCCATATGTTTAAGCTGAATTTTGTAAAAAAAAAAATAGATACTAATGCCAACTGTGAGTAAAATTTAAAAAAAAAAATTTAAGCTACACGTATGTACGTACATACACATTGGACTATTATTGCAGCGGCAACAAACAACCTCTAAGCCGGGCAATTAGGTGTTTTTCAGGGACGACGGAAAGTTTGGAGGCTGGCCGGAATGCAAGTTAGGGAAATGTTACTGAAGTGACAGTTTTTGAGGAGGAATAAATCTGTCATTGGAAGGGTCCTTCAATTTCTCACTCGCCAGAATCCCAAAAGAACGCCTGTAGTGATTCCAAGTTTCCAAGTTTTTGTGAGGGTTTTAGTTTTTCTGCACTTCAAGGCTACAGAGGATTCCAATTCAAATGATGAAAGTGTATTACATATCGCCACTCTGTAACTTTGGATTAAGACACTGTCGTTATGAAATTTGCTTCACGTGCTTATCTTCGCACACATTCCAATGGCGCAAGACTGTGACTGAAAAAATGCTTGAAGTACCCTCTGAGAACACGTGAAGCAAACACTCCTTGTCGGAAATATAAACGTATCGTATTGAAAGCACAGGTAATGGGCATGGTTTCAGTGGACACACATTTCCTTCCAATGTTTCCCTGGATAGTTGACTCAAAAAAGATTAAATTTATTTAATAATAAATAAAACAAGGTCTTACTTTTTGTAACTTTTTTGTAAATAAATCAATGGTATTTTGTGTTTTACTTTTTGTGTATATTTTATTTGCATATTTCATTTAGCATTTTTTTATTATTTTTTTTCTAAAAATAGTATGCTTTTCCAAAAAGTTATTTTTTAATTATTTTATAATGCACGTGTAGTCTTAATTTCATTAAAATTAAAATTTAATTCATTACTAGGCTAATTCGTATTTGTTTTCCATTTTTTAACTTTTTTTGCTTTAAACGATTTTAAAGGTTAGTTTAAATATTGCATAAATTGTATATTTTTCATAAGTATTTATGTATGTATAGTGTTGTCTATTTTACGTAAGTAAACTTGAAAGAAGTCGCCCAAAGGAGTTTATGTAATATGTATGTATTTATGTACATACCAGAGCAGGTATACTCCTTTACACATTAAACATAAGCGTCAAACGAATGTAAATTTATTCATGTGTATATATCGTTACCTTAATTCACAAAGGCCCCTAACCTTTTTGGAAACTGCGTTTTTCACAGATTTTGATAGGATGCATTAAAATACACCTTCAATAAAAATTTTTAAGTTTTAGTACCAAAGACAACGAAGTTACGGCCACTTTGTTAAAAGCCCTACCTGTGTTTGATACCCTTTTTATAATATTTGTTTACTTCTCCTATAAAATAAAAAGTGGTTGGTTAGGGCCTTTGTGAATTAGGGTGACGATATGTATGTATGTACATAAACGTATACGTAGCGTTCAAATATGCAATAACAATCAATAAATTAAACGGAAATATAAACAAATTTATAACTTGTTTTTGTTGCTTCTAATAATTGGAAATGTTGTACCTTTAAGGATGAGCGTCGTTTGATTTTTTAGTTGAGTTAAAGAACAATTAATAATAATTGTGAAGAAATAATAAAACAAATGAAAAATAATTCTTTTTCTTTTTTTTTTTGATTAAAAAATTCAAGTTATTTAACTGCGACTAGACCGAACGCACGAATAACAATCAATTCACCCTCCGTAGGGTCGAATAGCTAACAAATGCAATGTCTGCTTATGAGTGTCAATGTGTCGCTAGCTTGAAGATTTGTAAATATTTACCGTGTGTATTTCATTCGAATTGATAAATATTCACGCAGCTCACGCCAACAAGGTTATGTAGCAAATGCACAAAAAAAAACTCCCGTCTTCATACTTAACCTTTGCACCCTGCTAATTTGTGTTGTTGTTATCGCTTATTTGAATGGGTGGTAACCAAGTGTAGAAGAGTATGTAAGCAGCACCGGAAACCACATTAGAAGTATCCAACGGCGTGACGACCTGGTCATCGAACTTGAACCATCTGTTGCATGAGTAATATTAAATAGCAATAAATATCGCCAACTAAATATTTTAAAAGCGCGTCTGTACGTACCTGGCATAATTACCACTTTTACAGAACGCTGTGTAGTGGCCGCTCTCCATGGAGCCGTAATGATTAGATACGCCATAAAGTTGATACGTTTTCGGTGTCACCGAACGCGATTCGGATTTGGCAATGTAGGGTGTCATATCGAGATTTTCGAGCGGAAAGCGTAGATAGTTTTGTTTCTTTTTGTACGAATTACCAACAGCATCAGAATCGGCATAGAATCTTAAATTGAATTGAAATTTTTGTTAAAAAGTTAGTAAGTAGAATTGTTGAGAAAAAAATTTTTATTGTTGGTTCTAGTTTTCAAAATGACTGCATGTAAATAACGCAGACAAATTAAAGTAATAACACCAAGTGTAATTCACCTTTTGAGATGTATCACCAATACAGGTGGCAGTTTTGAAATATCCAATTTCTTCACAGCATCGCGTTTCTTCTGGCAATTCGGACAATTCCAACCGTGTATACGTTCACCGCTAAAGTACATATCCATGCATTGGCTAAGATAGCAAAGATTTGCATTTGAAGGCAGTTCCAGGCTTAGATTTGAAAAACACTCATATGTGGCCGACTCTTTGTTGCAGTCGACACATTTGACGGTACTTTTTATTTGGCCATAGAATAAATGCAGTATGAGACTCTCTTTTGCTTTGGTAAATTCAAGCCACGCCTTCTCGGACGGTGTTATGTTATCACGTGCCTTCTCGGGTACGTTCAACGTTTGCAAATCGGAATGTAGCCAATCCATAAGTATGGTAAGAAATTCGTGTGAATCCTGCTGTTCGATGCCGCGGAAGATTTGCTGATATTGACCCATAACGTACTGTTTAGCAAATGTTGTGCGACAAAGAAAGAGTTCAATGATTTAATACATAATTAATCAAGGATTTGTTATAACATTTTATATATGTAGATTCTGGAAAAAGCATAGGTATGTACATACATACATATGTATATATTAACATAGATAAAAACAAAGGCATGATGCCATTGTCACCTTTATAAATATCATTTACATGCAATATACATATGTACATATGCATGTATGTATATGTTAGAACATTCGTATATGCAAGTATGTATACATATGCATATATGAATATACGCATATGTTACACATTGCTAAGACTCTGAATTTTATTATACACTTACACGCAAGTCCTTGCTAGCAACACATTTATAGTTGCCATTCCATAAAACTTTAATGAGCGCCGCCACCTCCTCGACAATATGACCCTTCGTCTTATTGCTGCGACTTATGTAGTTCTTATATTTGTCAGTTATACAGTATTCGGTGAGCTGTGGGGTATTGCTGAGGCACTGTATTATACTGTTCATGTAGCAGGTGTTGCCCAAGTTTTTTAGGCCGGTCAAGCCGCGACCCTAAGAAAGCAGTAAAAACAAAATTAATTAACCTTGAACTGATTGATACATATACAGGCCACTTAATAAAAATATATTTTGTTGTTACTGATATTATGTAACTACTGATTATACGCCACGAAAGCTAATCCTGAACAATTTTCTTTGTTAGCTGTATAGTTAATAAATGATTATATCTGTAGGCTTAAAACCACAACTTAAGTGATTTCAGAAGTTTTAACTTTAGAGGAGAACAGTTTTCTACAAAAATTGAATATTTTATAAAACAAAAAAAATCTGAAATAACAGATATCGACTCATAAACTAATACTTTCAATTAAAAATGTGTAAAATTTAAGGGAAAGAACGTAAACTATAGTATTTTAAATCTCACGGATTCAGACTTACTTAATACTCCTATGCCCTGCATGTGAAATAAACCTCTTCATTTTCATCTTTTGCCTTAAAACTGTTCATCCGACTTCTATCTCTCTTTACTCTAACCTTGTAGAAACAAGACGTTTCCTTAGCCTGCGATTAGTTGGGCCTAATGATTATACATAAGTATGTACATATGTACATATGTATATCGGACGCTATAAATATTCCACACAATTGCGAACCATGTAAGCATTTACTATAATATACAGCCCAAAAATATGCAAGACTTTTTAACGCACCCGTTTCAATGGAAAAAACGATGTGTAAAATAAAATATGCGTCGCCGGTATATTCAATTTAACGCCTGCGACCACAATCATCTTAAAATATTATTTTTAATACTACTTTTATTGGTTATAAAAATTGTAAACGATTGTAAAATTTTTGGCTTTGAGTTGGCGATTGTTGGCGTTTGGGATTGCGCGCACAACAACATGCTTTGAGTAGAGACAACGACAGACTGAGGCAGCAGCCAATAGAAAAAGTTCGGTTGCCTCTGGTCAGACACGACAAATAACGCCTAGACATATGTGCACAAGAATATGACAAAGGAACACTCTTGAAGGAGGTAATTTAATGTATGTAATATAGTTTTTGAACTTGCCTATGTTTAGGCGCTATGGTGGGCATGCATTTACATGTGAGCTGATGCTCACGCCCAACAAACATTGATTTTCTGGGTTTGTTAGGTGGTCATTGAAAATTGGCGCATTCCACACTTTTTTGAGTGGCAGAGGATAGTACTTGTAGTAGCTGAGTGAATTTGTATGTATGTAGTATGTAGGTAACACAGATACATATATACTCGTATGCAAATGTACATATGGGTACATGGAGGAAATGTAGGCGGGTCACGTTAATGAAAATAACAGTCGGTCATTAACACATTCAACGTAGACTGCCTTATGACGGTTGGCATGGTCGTTAAAAAATGCGTGTATACTGTTGC